CTCGGCGCGCTGCAGCCCCGGCCCTCGGCGCTCCTGGCGTCTCGCAGCCCGCAGAAATGCATCGTCCACAAATAAACGCGGGGTTTCTTTGACAATGATTTCTTACTTTTTATTTCATGATCGGTATTGGGGAAAAAATTGGCACGTTACAACTGAAAGCAGATTGATACAAAGTGACAGCCCACGAACACTGCAGAACAGTAGAAAAGGAAGCCATCCGATTGTTACGGTTCCAAGAGATCTGCAGCCTTCCGGGAACCTTTTCTTGGATGCCAGAAACAGAACTTAGGCAACTTAAATACCTAGCGGCAATTCTTTTTTAAGTAGGAATACGAGTTAAAACAGATTTCTTTACAAGCTTCATATCAGAAATCACAATACTGTCCAATGTTAAATAGCATCTCATTTGTGTTAATATCATTTTTGACACATTTAAAGCGCAAGTAACAAACTCAATTGCTTTGGCATTTGAAAAAAAGAAAAAGTTTTGATATGAAAAACAATGTTGTGTGATATTTACTAGGGTGACCATGGATTTGAAAGCATTTACCACAGTTCTTTCAAATTTCCTGTTTATAACTGGATATGTTTCTCTTGATAAAAAACGCTACTTAGAAACTGCACAATCAGGAGAAATCTATGTAAACAGCAGACCTGGCTTCCTTAATAATTTATTACTGCTCTGAAAGACCCAGCAAAGAAAAACTGCACCTGACCAAATACGAGCAAGTACAAGTCTCACGGAGGCATGAGGTTCTGTAGTGGGTTTAAACAAACGGTACGTTAGGACTGCACAAGAAGCAAGACTCTCTGTCGCACGTCTCCTGATAAACCGCTTGGTTGCATGAGGAGCCTACAGGCTTAGCTAGAGGCACCTGCACCGCAGGATGCACATCTATGTTATAGGGAAAAGTTTAATAAAAATCACTTGCTAAAGCTAAGAAGGCTACAGATGAAATGTGCATGATTATACTAAAAGACTAGAAAAAGGGAAGAGCAGGAACCAAAGCACACGGTTAAGAGATTTCTCCTAATTGTCACGGCCTGGACCTGAGTGCAGCCAGACGCTCACTCCATTCAACCTCTGTTAGCCAATAAATTGTTTTCATTTGCTACAAGTAAAATTTGATAAAAACATATTTGTGGTACTTACTGCATATCACCTACCATTCAGCATGCCCCAAATTACGTGAAGACACTTCTGGCTTTGAAATATGGTCACTCTAGTATTATTACTAAAGAAAAACCGTGAATGCAACTTTTGCAATGGAAAATGTCACCACAACAGCAGTTGGGACTGGATGATAAAGATGCAGGAATGAGATCTACACAGCTACTTAGCTCTTGGCTTCAGGTTTAAAAAACTCAGAGTTAACAAAGGAAAATCCTTCGAATTCTGACTGGTCAATGTTCCTGATGACTTCCTGGTCGGGAGGTGTTAAGACGGGTGGATGGCGAGTGAAAAACCGGTCGAAGTTTTCAGCATTGCGTCCACACTATGAGAGGGGAAAAAAAGAACGTATGGTGGGTGGAGAAACAAAGCAAACGGATGCGGTCTGCAGCAATCCCCTCCCATTCACACCTTGCAAAGCAGATTATTACAATGCAGCAAATGACAGAAAAGAAAAAGGTGCAAAACACTTATGAATTTTGTTAATTGTAAGGCGATGTTTTCTCATGGAATAGCCAGAGACTGACAAAAACCCTCTGGCTGCAGCATGGCAAGTAATTGCAGGAGAGGAATGAGATGGGAGGGCAATTACTTGCTGTCGTTTCCCTGTCTACATGCGATACTGTACCTTGGCTCAGGCTGCACCATGCACAGAGCAGTTCCTCCTTTGACAGACACCTAGGGTTTCACCCATATACACATCTGTTCTTCGTCACCCTTCCTTACCCAGGAACTGGAAGTTTTGGCCATGCCTGGACTGCTCAGACGATTCTCCTTGCTCCTGTTCAAGGAGAGGGCCGCTCGCCCTCGGCAGAGCTCCTCCTGGAAATCACAGCTGGCTGAATGCTTAATGCAGGCCACGTGGTTGTGCTACTGGAAAATTCCCGGTCTGCTCCGTCCCTTTCCAACACGCTTGTTAGACCCCGATGGTCCGCTCGGGCACCCAGCACTGCTTGGACAAGGCAGCCTGGCAGCAGGACCGACTGCTGGCTCCGTGCAGCGGAGGAGGATCGGATCTACCCGAGCACGTGCCCTGTGGCTTCCCAACACCCACGCGGCGGCACGTCTCACCTCCGAAACGCGCTTTTCTCTCTTGCCCCTGAAGACAGCTAATAATCCCTGCTGCAGGGGGGGAAGAGCCCGAGAGGACCAGAGCGC